GAACTCATGAGGGCAACGCTTCTTCTCTCTACATTTTTCTCTCCAGCTTTTAAATTCCTCGCTGTCACTCGTCGTTAGACTCAAGTCAAGAAGATGCGCTGCGGAGTTCATCTATTGTCTGCGTGGTGCAGCTCTGACCTCTGACCTCGTGATGACCGGGAGGCCGTTATGTCCTCCGACGCCACGAAACCGCGAACAAACAAGACGGCCGGGGAGCAACAGCTGATTTGTGGATGTTAGACAAAGAACTACCACCAAAGCCTTGATCTGAGAACCGAGGTACCTCCGGACCACCAGCGTCAGGGTCTTGTGGGAGCTCTTCACCAGGCAGATGGCCTCCTGACGAGAGCCGCTGAGGGGAACTGCGTTCACGCTCACCATCTCGTCGCCGGCCCGGAGACGAACGGCCGCCGCCACGCTGCCCTCCTCCACCTGGACAGGAAGACGGCGTTAGCGTCGCTTCACGAACACGTTAAACACAAAGTGGGTGTCGATGTCGGGAGCAGCTGAGCTTCTGCAGAGCTTCAGATGTGCTGAATAAACACTGTTCAGATGATAAATGTTGGTAAAGATTTAGATTTACGTCTTCGTGCTGTTTCAGTAACAGGACTTGACGTTTAAACCAGCTGATAAAACAGGAAAGTGATTAAAAAAACAGCACAATCACACAAAAATCAGCCATTTTTAAAGGTGGATGTGAAGTTTGAAGGCAACGAAAGCACATCAAGCGAAACAATAATGAATAAAAGTCATGTCTACGGCGATTTTTTAGTTTCTTTAGCCAGTTCTCATCTCGTTGTGGCTGTTTTTTAATCAATATATAGTTATTTTTGATCTCTTTGTGGTCATTTTTGGTCAATTTGTGGTCATTTTTGGTCAATTTGTGGTCATTTTTGGTCAATTTGTGGTCATTTCTAGTATTTTTGTGTTAATTTCAGTCTCTTCATGATCATTTCAAGTCACTCTGTGGCCATTTTTGTCATCACTTTCAATCACAATCAGGTTATTTCAAGGCTATTCACTATTTGCTAGACATTTTTGGTCTCTTTGTAGCTGTTTTCTGTGAATTTTCAGTTATTCTCAGTCTTTTTGTGGTCGTTTCTGGTGTATCTGTAGTCATGTCTGCTGTCTTTATGGACATTTTTGGTCAATTTGTGGTCATTTCTAGTATTTTTGTTGTCATTTCAGTCTCTTCATGATCATTTCTAGTCACTCTGTGGCCGTTTTTGTCATTATTTTTAATCTCAATCACGTAATTTCAAGTCTATTTACTATTTGCTAAGTTTAAACCAGCTGATAAAACAGGAAAGTGATTAAACAAACAGCACAATCACACAAAAATCTTCCGTTTATAAAGGTGGATGCTTCACCTTTGGAAACTTTTTCCTGCTTGGCTGCAACCTGAGCGCTCTGATGAATATTTAAAGCCTGAACCAGCCGTAATCTGAGGCAGCTGGAGGCTCCATGCAGCTCCTGGTACCTGCTGTATGTTGTACATTCATTCACCTGCTACCCAGCAAAGAAAAGCATCAAAGCTGTGAAGGTTCTGGGTTCAACTCCTCAAAAAAAAAAAGCCCAGATGTTGGTTTAAATCATAGCTGAAGTGTTTAATAAAGTTCTGCTGCCACCACTGATTACAGTTTGAGTTAAAAATGTGAACCTCGGGTGTAATATTTCACACTGTGCTGATGTTGAGCTCTGAAAACGTACGTTGCCATCTGCTGCTGTAATTAAAGCTCAAGATTTCAAACTCAGAGAGGCTTTAAATTCTGCACCAGGAGTGTGACTGGAATTAAACTCGGCGCTGCCCTCGTCGGCTCGCCGTCCTCTAGATTCAGCATCTCCACTAAACGATCACACAGAGACTGAAATCACAACAAACAGATGAGAAATGACCACAAAGAGCTGGAAAACGACGAGGACCAGAGAGAGAGAGGAATTGGCCAAAGAAACTAAAAAATATACAACAGACAGAAAAGAAATGACGACAAATAGACCAAAAATGATCACAAAGAAACTGAAAAAAGCCACAAAGGGATTGAGATTAACTATAAACTGAAAACAAGAAAACTGTAAATAGAATAGAAATGACAAAAATGAGACTAAAAAGGGGCTGAAATGACAACAAAGATATACTAGAAACAACCACACAGAGACCTAAATTGACCATGAATAGACCAAAAATGATCACAAACAGACTAAAAACAAACACAGAGAGACCAGAACCGACCAAACAAACTGAAAACGACCACAGACAGGTGAGAAAAGACTACAAATGACCACAAATAAACTGACAAAGAGGGTAGACATGACTGCACAAAGACCAAAAATTATCACTAAGAGACTGAAAATGACCATAAATAGAACAGAAAATGACACAAACAGACTAAAAATGACCATAAATAGATCAGAATTAACAACTAATTATGACAAATAAACCAAAAATGAGTTTCTGAGGTGACTGAACAGAACAACAGTAAATAAAAACTGAATTCCAACACCTTTAAAAGCTCATTTTCTCATTAAACACGTCAGCGTCAGATTAGATCAGATATTTAACTGTTTCCTGAACGTTAAAAGGACTGCAGTGAAAACAATCAGCAGGCTGATGGATGAAGTGATGTTTCCTGTCTCTGAACAAACTCAGGTCTGGGTGTAGTTTGGTGTTTTTTGGGAGGATGTTACCTTGGTGATGACCAGGGGCTCTCTGTGCTCGGTGCCGCCCCTCAGGGTGAAGCCCCAGGGCGCTTTGCCTCGCAGCAGCACCTCCACCAGCTCCTCTTCATCCTCCTCCTGCTGCCTCGCTCTCCACCCGTCCACCTCCGTCAACCACCTCATCCTTCCTGCTGACAGCCTCAGGTCGTCCCTGTAGTCCACGGCATCCATGATGCCTCCGGCTCAGCGGCCTCCATCAACCTCTGAAATGCATTTACTAGTTTATTTACTGTGTTTTCACATTCATGTCAGAGGGATTCATTCCTCATGTAAAAGACACAGCAGCAGCAATAAAAACGTCCCGTTAAAATGAACTTAAACGTCTTGTTTAATGATAAATAACATATTGTCAAACTGCATCAGCCTCAGAAATGTGAACGTTTGCTTGTCTACTATGATTTTAAGAGAATAAATCTGAGTTTTAAAATGTTTGTCAGACAGAAACCAACATTTTATAAAATAAAACAACTACTGAGGAAACAAGATGAATCAACAAATAGACCAGTCATGGGGCTGCAGCATCAGGACGCTGTTAGAAAACCTGAAGCTCATTAAAATAAACTGCATGATGTCATTAATTAAAGCTTTTGTGCATCGTGTGGAGCTTTAATGTCATGAACCTGCAACATTATCCCACCAAATACACGAATGTCACGACAAAACACGGGAGCAAAAAACACAGTCTAGCAGCAGACAAAGCGAGTTTAGCGACTTTAAAGGCTGTTCTTTGGATAGAAACTCTGACAAACCTCCAGAGAAGGACCCGGCCGTGGTCGCGTGTCTGTGCCCCACCAGGTGAACCTCCACCAGGTGAACCTCCACCAGGTGAACCTCCACCAGGTGAACCTCCACCAGGTGAACCTCCAGCTCCGTCTGAGCGCCGCTTCACACAACTTTGTTCCTCCTCCGACTCTCTAAAACCTTCCGCCGTCAGCTGCTCTCCGTTATCTTCTCCTCCTGCCCTCGCGGTTCTGCTCCTCACCTGTGTGTGAATGATGATGTCACCACGCCACCTGGCGGCGACGTGCTGCGTCACCGGTGGACTGTTGCCTTCAGGTGCTCCCGTAAACTTCAAGGTCGTTCGTTCTTTCTTTCTTTCTCTCTCTTTTGCGTTATCTTTCTTTTCTTCTTTTTTTCTTTCTTTCTATTTGTTTTTTCTCTTTCTTTCTTTCTTTCTATTTTTTCTTTGTCCACCTTCTTCTTTCTTTCTTTCTTTCTTTCTTTCTTTCTTGTTCTCTCTTTTTTCTTTATCTTTCTTTTCTTTTCTTTTCTTTTCTTTTTTTTCTTTCTTTCTATTAGTTTTTCTTTCTTTTTTTCTTTATCCACCTTCTTTCTTTCTTTCTTTCTTTCTTTCTTTCTTTCTTTCTTTTTCTTTTTTATTCTTCCTTTCTTCTTTTATCTTTCTTTCTTTTTTCTTCCTTCCTTCTATTTTCTTCCTTTATCTTCCTCTTTCTTTCTTTCTTTCTTGTTCTCTTTTTTCTTTATCTTCCTTTTCTTTTCTTTTTCTTTCTTTTTTCTTTCTATTTTTTTCTTTATCCACCTTCTTCTTTCTTTCTTTCTTTCTTTCTTTCTTTCTTTCTTTCTTTCTTTCGTTCTTTCTTTCTTGTTCTCTTTTTCTTTATCTTGCTTTTCTCTTTCTTTCTATTTGTTCTTTCTTTCTTTCTTTTTCTTTTTTATTCTTCCTTTCTTCTTTTATCTTTCTTTCTTTTTTCTTCCTTCTATTTTCTTCCTTTATCTTCTTCTTTCTTTCTTTCTTTCTTTCTTTCTTTCTTTCTTTCTTTCAGCGTCATCTTAATATAAACTTAATCAAAAGGAAGCTCTTAAGCCTAATCTTAGAAACCCAGAAGGTTTCTACCTCCTGAACCTAAAATGAGAGTTGATATCTGAAAACTGAAGCCTCCATAAATCCATGCATCTAATCCTGCAGTCTGGGAGAACACTGGATAACATTAATACAGCATTTTGGTGCAATAAGGTCTTTAAGACAAGATGGAGCTCAATCATTTATGCTTTTGTATCTTGGCAGCAGGATTTTAAATTCTATTCTGGATTATAAAGAGGAAATCGTTTCTCTTGCTTAGTTCCTGTTTACAGTTCGGCAGCACCGCTTGGCTTCAGCTGCAGGTTTTCAGAGAGCTACTGAGACGTCCTGACAATGAGGCATCACTGTAGTTTCAGCATCACTCTGAGACAGGACAGGTTCTGATTTTGGCAAGTTCTATGTGTGAGCTAAAGGACACATCCCGATCAAAAATAACCCCAATGTTCCTCAGGGCAGAACCAGAGGCCAGACAATACGATCCAGAGCAGCTATCTGGATAGACGCTGTGTTTCTGAGGGGCGTAGGGATGAATTCAGTGGAAGAAAACAGGTCATGCAGGCATGTTTGAAGATGGAGCAGCTGATATGTTTCATCTGCTTTCATTCATAGATAAAGCAGGGTGTCATCTGCATAGCGGTGGACCAAAGAGTCAACTTTACATCCTGAGCTCATTGTTACGATGTTTTCCTGAGCAAAAGACCAGGATGTGGCACGTTATCTGGAGAACCAGGAATGTCCTGATGTGGGGAATGATTCTGCTCCTGGTCTCTGGATCTCTTCCTGAAGTTCTCCCCCTGCTGAGGGTCAATGCGCCTTCTGACCATCAAAACGTAGTTAATTGTTC